GTTTCTATTTATTAATTAATTCCTGTCTACATAATAGAAATTCGAATTAAGCCCCACATTTAAAAAAAACATGGCACATTTTGGTTGGACAAGGGGGTACGGGTGGAAGCAGAGAATTTGGGGCTTCGCTGTTTTGTCGTCAAGAGAATTGACGCATGTCGGAGATCACAACAAAGCAGGAGAGCTCAATGATTGTGGCTGCTTCAGCATGTGCTTTGTATTATTAATTTCCAAAATCTGTAAAAAAACTACTGTTTTGTCGTCATTTTTTCTTTCTTCCTTCCTATTTCCTCCAATTGTTGGCCATTTTTAACTTTATAGCTACTAATATTCGTGCCCCCACAAGGCAGATTTGAAAAAGATCTCGAGTGTTCTTATGGCCTAAGAATTTCTTTAAACGCTTAACATATGTCTTTCTGCTCTTCATTTGTCATTGTTAGATTGATGTAACAAGATGCCATGGATTTCTCTTCGGAATTATTAGTTGAATCGATCAACGGAGTAGTTATCAGATACTAGAATTTGATCATATTATACAAATAGTTAAAAGGTAACATTTTCAAACACTGATGATGTTGTTGGTTTAATTTCCACAAACATTGCTTTTGCTTTCTGCTTCTGATTCTCTGTCTGAAAATGATTCAATCATGTTTATTCAAGGGGTTATGTTCTTTTGAGTGAAGCCAAATAATATAATTCTCCCTAGTCATCGACAGTAAAATAAAGCTATTTTAGGAATTAATGATATATGCTAATAAGGGGATTGCATGGTGAGCAGATGGGCTTTGGGGCCGATTCTCAGAGGCGATAATGGGGGGGGGGGGGGGGCTTCAATGCTGCCAACACCCTATATTTGTTGGAGTCGAGAGGGATGCTCTATTGGGTTATATATATATATATTGATTAAAAACATTTATATTATCTCAATTTATGCAAATTCATGGGAAACCCCCAGTTTCCCTTGACTAAGATGACGAAAATATTAAAAATAAATAAATGATACTATAATCTTGTGTATATCGAAATGAATGTTTTTAATGTACTCTTCATTTGATGTTAAAGAAAATATTATTATTCTTTTTAGAGGATTCAAATTCAATCAATTATAATTGCTGGGTGTATATTGTCAATGATTAAAAGAAATTTGAACAAATAATATCGTTTAATTACTCTAAATTATTAAAAAATGAAAATATAGAAATAAATTATATTATAATGTTTTGTATATCGGAATGAATGTTTGTTCTTAATGTATTCTTGATTTGGCAGTGGGTTGTATTGAGAATGGGTGATAAAATTTTAAAGGAGCTATATTTTACAATTATACTTGTATGAAATAAGAGTAAATTACACGCTTACTCACTGAACTTTACTCTCTCTCCTATTTCACTCACCATACTTTGAATTTTTTTCCATTTGCTCACTAAGCTTTAGACATTAAGCTTTTTTAGTCACTCGACCCCTTACACAGTAACGGGGTGCTCATGTGGCTTGTTTTAATAATAAAACATGCCACATAGGACTTATAATTAAAAAGATAAATTACACGTTTACTCATTGAACTTTACTCTGTCTCCTATTTTACTCACTATGCTTTTAAGTTTTTTCAATTAATATAGTAATGTCATAACGCTGTTAGAAATTTAACGGTCGAGTGACCAAAAAAGTTCATTGTCTAAAGTTTAGTGAGCGAATTGAAAAAATTGAAAGTATGGTGAGTGAAATAAGAGATAAAGTAAAGCTAAGTGAGTAAGCATGTATTTTACCCATAAAATAAAAAAGACCCCTAAGTTAAACTATTGCGAACACTCGCATCAATCTATTGAAAGTTGAAACGGATCTAACGTATAATGGGGCGTAATGTGTACTTTCATAGTTTTGTTTTTAAATTTATAATTTTATTTATAATAAATAAATAATTGTATAATAATAAAAAATTAGGTATTAATTTCAAGCTAACAAACATAATTTTAGGAAAGCAGGCGAAATTGTTGGTGTTTGAGAGCCTTGGGAAAAGGATCATGTCTCAAGGCCCAAATAAGTTGGAGCGCTAGTCTAGCAGTTTTCTCCCGTCAATGGTTGCCTGTAAACAGTGACCTCCCGACATTTGGCGCCACAAAAAGTGGATGGCAACCTCAAAAGCCGAAGAGCTGCTGGGGAAGATGAAGCTTTGGCTCAATTTTCAACATATCAGTTTAATATTACTACCTTAGCCGAATAGGCACCGGAAGACCAATCCAGAATGTAGTTATTTGTCAACTTATTATTATCATAACCGACCTGCTTTCTCTTCTCATCCATTGGCCTTTTAACCAAATCTAAGAATAAATTGCATTTAATCACATGCCACATCAGTCTGCAAATAGATTCCAATCATAGAGCTTAAGTATCTCTGTGTTGGTGGTCTCACTAAGAAAATGAAAATATGATCTTAGACGCTTCATCCTTTTCCGATTCTCTCAAATAATAAAGATAGTTGGTAATGAAATTGACAACACCCATAATACTCGGCAAGATTGAAACATTCCTAGGTTACTTTGAGGCGATGCTGTTAGATGCTTTACCTTGTGATAGAGATTAAAAATCCCAGAATACTGCCTTGATGACAATGTTGATTATGTCTTTAAAGTAATCCGTTTAAGATGATGAGATTCTTGATTCCTTCGTTGGATTTGGATCCTTAGATTTTCAGCAAGTATATGAACCCTCCAGATTGATCATCCACTCAATCCCATCACTTCATTAATAGTTGTTATCTTCATCTTTGGCAACTCGAACAATTTGCGTAACCATTTCAATGATATTACTTGATTAAGTGGGTTACATAAAGTGAAAAATTCGTATTCTTCCGTGGGACATGACCAAAAATGCCTTAGGCTCCTCTTTACCTTCTTTCACTTGCCATCTTTAATCATTTAATTCAATACTTAGCTTCGGCTTCAAGCCAAATTCACTTAATCCCTTTCAGAAGAAACAAGAATCTGAGCTTTTAAGCTTTATAAAAACACCAGTTCATATGGTTTGTATAGAGACAGTTGAAAAGAAGAACTGACAAACACCATGAAATACAATGAGATTTCCCATTTCAGCCACCCCCAACACATTCTAAATTTTGATTACACTGAAGTTCCATTCAAGTGTGATGGATGCAAAGAAGTTGGCATAGGCTCACATTATCGATGCTCCTTCTGTGATTTCGATCTCCACATGCACTGCGCCCTGCCGTCTAGTTCGATCTCTCACCCTTTCTATCCAAAATGTTCATTTCAGTTCGTCTCAAGGCCCCCTGGTGACACTCCTCGCTACTGCAACGCCTGCAAAAAGGATGTTACCGGCTTCGTTTACCATTGCGAATCGTGTGGATTCGATCTACATCCATGTTGTGCGAAGCTACCGATTGTGTTAGATGATGGAGAAGTGAAACTGTATCTGTATAGGAAGGTGAGTTCACCGTGTCATCAATGTGGTCGAAAAGGGAGGAGCTGGAGTTACCGATCAGGTTGCAAAAGGTACAACTTGCATGTGGCTTGTGTTAGGGAAATGTTGGTGGAGAATTGGCATGAATTGTACTTCGGAGATGGTGGTAAATCACGGAACCGAATTCCGAGCTTGAAGAACACACTTGAAACCAGTCATAAAAGGAGTAAAGGTAAGGTTAAGAAGTGTTGTAAAATGGCTGCTTTGGCTTTGCAATTTGTTATCTCAGCTGTGCTTGGGGATCCAACCGCTCTTATTGCTGGGGTTATTGCTACTTTTATGTCTAGAGCATGAAAATGTTGTCCCTTCGATGCTGTTTAAGGTAGGTGTCTGTAAAATAAACAAAAAATAATTAACTTCTGTTGTAAATAAATTCCAAATTCTATTTTCTTTTCAAGTTTCGTCGAGTGGTAAGTCGTTTTAGGAAACTAAGCGACATTATTGCTTATATAGTTTTCTACAAATGATGACAGTTCTGTAATCACCATTATTCAACGCTCAAACAGAAGAGTGAGTGGTGGCGTAGTAAACGAAAATGGTACACAATTAAATCAGGGTAAACTACGTGTTTAGTAATTAAACTATTAGTTTTAGTTTGTTTTAGTACCTAAAATTTCAATTTTTTAAAACCATACCTATCGTAAATGAAACAAAAACTAAACGTTAAGTATGATTTTGAAAAAAATTTAAAACATAGATATTAAATTGGACCAAAACTGATAATTTTAAGTACTAAACGTGTAATTTATCCTTAAAATCACCTTCACGTTCACCCAACATTTTAAACTTAAATATTAAATATACCCATTTTAAATGTTGAACTTATATTGTTCTCCCGAGAGTTTCAGGTTAAAATAATTTCATTTGTAAGATATGTCTTAATTAATGAATAAGAATGTTTTAAATAAATATTGCCTAATAAAAAGATTATATGTGCAAGCTAAACAAGGGGTTGGGAATATATCTTCTTCCCAACCCCTAACCCCACCTTCAATTAGCCCGAGGCTTGAAAAAAAATAGGTTTTTCTTAGAGAAGGTGAAGAGAACTTTGGGCTTCAATGGATTCAGTAGGAACAAAGGGTAACCCACCATGCAATAACAAATTTTAGTGAGGATGAACCATTCATAAACTCTATCATAATATATATATATATTATATATATATATATATATATATATATATATATATATATATATATATATATGATAATAATTTATTTATATACTCGTTTTATTAAAAAAATAATTTTTAATAAAAGGATAATTAAAAAATATGTTTATTTTATTTACTTATATATAATTATTACTCGGTAATATGCATGTTTATTTAATTCATATACAAAAAAAATGTATTCATTTATTGTTTATAAACATATTTAGTAAATTATTTATTTAATGTTGGTAAACATATTTATTTAGTGCTCATAAATATGTTAAACGAACATGTTTATAGATATTAATAAGTGATCCATAAAGATAAGTAATTTTTTTTGAATTATAAAGAAGACGGTTACAATAAAATACTAAGTGCAGAGGGAAACAAGACCATAGAGGTCAGAGTGAAGAAGTGATATAATCTCTTGGGGGTGTTCTATATAGGTCTGAGCTTGTTTATTTGTAACAATAATAGATTTTGCAAGGAAGTCTGCTGCAACATTGGCTTCACGGCGAATGAGAATGAATTCGATCGTCCATTGTTTTGATATGAGATTTTCAATAGAGCGAACAAGGGCTATTGGGATGCAGTTAGCCATTGGCAAAGACACGAGATTAAGAGCTTCGGCACTGTCTGTTTGGAATTGAAGGCGTTCGATATTATGGGACAGCGACAATTGACATCCTTCAAAAATTCCCCAAAGTTCAGCTTGAAGTGGAGTTAAGATTCCAACCGGTTTATTAAATCCAATGATCCAGTCACCATTCATATTTCGAATGAGGCCACCCACCGTTCCGAGAGAGGAAATTTTGTGTACCGCTCCATCCGTGTTAAGAGTGTACCAGTCTGTAGGCGCGAGCTTTCATTGAATAAGTTCTGGACGAGCAACAACGAAATCAATTGGGGAGATGGTCTTTGCTGCAATGATGTAGAGGGACCAATTTTTACTTAGGCATAGGAGCTGGTCATTATGGATGAACAAATATGAAAATATGTAAGAATTTCTTCGCTTCCAGATCTGTCAGGCTATGGAAGAGAATAGTATTTTCCATGGGATGTTTGAGCCAGCAAAAAGACTATTTGATTCTAGGTTCATCGTGATCCAATCAGAGGCGTTAGTGGTGAAGAAGTTTGGTAGGGGTTGCTGCCGGATAATCTGTTGCCAAAGAGTTGCGGAGTTCTGATAGTCACGTAGAACATGCAAAGTATTTTCGTTAGCTAAGCCACATATTTGACATAAAGGATCACCCATAAGGTTCCTTGCACAACGATTAACGTTCGTAAGCAAGCGATCTTTATATGAAAGCCATAGGAAATTTTTAATGCGCTCTGGGATAGTCATACGCCAAAGCTTAGTCCATTTGATATCTTTGGGGCCCCAAAGATCCTTGGTTATAAGATCATAAGCAGATTTTACTGTGAACTCACTGTGTTTGCCTTGAGACTAGCAATAGCGATCCTTACCAGCATTCAGATGAGGAGGTTGAACATTCAGTAGATGCTGAATTGGAGGGCTGGAGAGACTGCTGAAGCATATTCCAGTTCCAATTACCGTTCGACAGAGCAGTATCACAGACCAAATTGTCTTCAATAGTAATATGCTTTTGTTTCCATTCTGATAAACGCCCAAGTTTCGGCATCCAATTGCCATGCCAAAATCTGGTTGTAGTTTCATCGCCTATAGACCAAGATAAGAAGTTGTAGAAACTATTCCAGACTTTGGATAAGTACCTCCACAAATGAAAGCAACTCGGTTGGAATATGGAGGAAGGGCAATTAGAGAGCACCTTATACTTTTGGCGAAGAAGCTTTATGTAATATTTCCATATCAGAAGCAATGGCATAACAAAGTTTCATGTGGAAGGCAAAATTATGTTGTTGTAACCTCCGAATGTCGAGGCCTCCATTGTGCCTAGGTTGAGTTAAGGTGTCCCAACTAACGAGGGGAATGTCTCAAGTTTGATTACTATAACTCCATATAAAATGTCGAACAAGATTTTCAATGTCTTGACATACTCGAGAGGGGAAGCGACAAGTTTGCATGAAGTAACTAGGGCTAACCATGAGCACGGAGTTAGCGAGGGTAATCCGTCCCGCAAAAGATAGGGTTCTAGCCGACCACCCATGGAACTTTGATTTTATTTTGTCAATAATGAAGCTATAGAATTCGCAAGTGGCATGCTTTTACATCACCGGTATTCCAAGATGGACACCCAAGTTAGGAACTTGCTTCATGCCGAGATGAGAACAGACTGCGTTTGGTGTTTCTACGGTTGTATTAGGCAAGAAGTACACATGGGATTTGAGCTTGTTGACTTTGTGGCCCGAGTAGTGACCAAATTCCTCCAGGATATTGTCAATTAGAATTGGATGTGTTGCAGTTGCTTTGGCATACAATACTAAGTCATCTGCAAAGAATAGGTGAGTGATAGGAAGACCTCCACGTATTAGCTTAAATGGTTTCCAAACGCCCTTTTCCGAAGCAAGGTGGATACGATGTCCAAGCCTTTCCATGGTAAGAACAAAAAGGTAAGGAGAAATTGGATCTCCTTGTCGAACTCCGCATTGTGGTTTAAAATCAATGCTAAGGCCTCCATTAATTGAACCTGCATAGAAGAAGATGAAATACAATGTAAGATAAGTCGTGTGTTTGCTAGTGGAAAGTCTGCTTCATAAAGAGTGTCGGTTATAAAGTCCCAGCGCAGACGATCAAAAGTTTTTTCCAAGTCCACCTTTATCGCCATCCAACATTCTTTGTCATTTTCATGGAGTGAATAACCTCTTGATTAATAATAACATTCTCCGAGATGCTACGGCCTTGAATGAAGCTGGTTTGGTTAGGCGCGACAAGTCGAGGCATAATTTGTTGGAGGTGCCTGACAATGATCTTAGTGACCAACTTATATAAGACCGTACAAAGGCTGATAGGTCGAAAGTCTTTGAAGCTTGAAGGACTTGGGACTTTGGGGATAAGGGCAAGAATTGTTTTGTTCAATAGGGGATCAATATTATTATCACTAAAAATGTTTTGGATCGTATGGCAAACCGAAGTGCCAACAATGTCCCAATGCTTCTAATAGAAGTGTGCGTGCAGTCTATCTGCTCCTGGAGATTTGAGTGGAGCCATGTCGAATATAAATAAATAGAAGAATATAAATAAAAGTGTATCTGATCAAGGTTGAAAAATTCACCTATGATTTGACGCACAAACAGTATCGGCATATAACATAGCCTATCACAAGCGTTACTTTTGTTGAATTGCATAAACTTCTAAGATCAGAATGCCTAGGTGAAGAAATCGAAAGTGCAGTTTTACGGTTTTGAAGATATTAACAAAAAGGAACAAGATCTTTTACTTACCAGTACTGCAGATTCTGGGAACCACTTTAACTCCAGTTTGTCCAACGTTGTTTCTGTCTGGAAGAAGATTACAGTATAACCTGTAGGAATCAAAACCGAAACTTCCTTTCTCCGTTGGGTTTTCAGGAAGTCGATTACTAAATATACAACACTCAAACACTGACAATCGTAAGAAGAATGAATCCTTGGAATGACGAAAACAATCATCAGGCAAGATGATCTTTTTTACAGATGGGTTGACAGATATATCACCTGCGTATTGCACAAATGTAATCCATATTGGTTCCTGGTTCAGGTAAAATTAGTAGTAGTGTGACGAAACTTGAAAATGGTAGAGCCGATAACAAGGATGAATATGCAGTAGCTGAGAGGGAAAAGGCCAAGCTTTCACATGGCACCCACTATATCACTATGTATGGTCTAATCATAGGTGAATTTATGAACAAGCAATGGCTATAGGCTACAAGATGAAATAGATAATTTGGTTATCGGACAGGACCACAGTTATCAATTTAGTATCCAAAGATAAAACAATTAATGATTTTATTTATGTTTACATCTGTAATCCACAATAGGCCAATCTTTAGTGGCTTAATGACATGTTATTTTCAAATGTAAGATGTACACTACTTAATTATTAATCAATCAAATCACGCTAGTATTTATATATAAATAAATATTTGACATATTGTCATTAAATATTGTAATTTTACAAAAAAGTGTTTAAATATGGACACGTAAACTATAAGAATAGTGACTTCCGTTTTAGTTTTATTCATTTCTGTAAAAAAGTTACGCTTTTAAGCTATAAATCTTTTGCATTTTGATCAGTGACTGTTTAATTTAGTTAATTCGATTATGTGGCAGATTAGTAAAATGAGTTAGTTTTAATTTGATTTATGAATTAAAAAAAATTAATTTGACCCTTAAATGTTATATAAGAAATCAATTTAACTCATAAATTTTATTTAAAATATCAATTTGACTCTTAAATTCTATCAAAATCTTATGTCACACACTGGTGTCAATTGTTATCATCGGTGATCATTAGACTCCAAAATTTGCCATTTCACTTCTTTTTAATCTCATGAATGTGAACATGTTTATAGCACTAAAAATACCTTGAACTCGACAAATTTAACATAAATTCTTTGAATTTTTTAAATTAAATCATAACAATAAACTTATTATTAATATTTATTTAAAGATAAATACAATTTTATCTTTCAAATCGATATCCATAATATTTATCTTTCGGATAAATGATTAAAATTTTAAGTGTTGTTAGTGATTGTTTTGTGGAAGTATTTGTGTTTAATTTTAATTCACAGATTTTCTCTTATACAGCTAAAGAGTTATTGAGCGCCTCGTAAGCCTTTGCCATCACTCAAGTAACCATTTCATACTGCCAGAAATAGAAAGAAAGAAGAGATTTCATGTATATATATATATATGTAATCGATACTCGATAGGATAAACATATTGAAGGAATGGTGAAAAAGCAAATTTGGTAAGCGGCAAAGGCTGTCCCGAAGAGAAAAAAATCTGAAAGAAAGGAAAAATTATGAATCACACTTGTGATAAAAAAATGTACATAATAAAAATATATAATAATTCAAAAATTTTAGGTACGATAGTTCCCACAAACTCACCCTCAATCCATTGGTCCATTGGACCATTGGCCTCAAAGAAGTGAAGTAAGAGTATAATCAACATGATGTAAGATGAAGAGATTTTTCTAAACAAAATCACTTGGTCAACAAGTCAATGTGGAAAAATCGAAGTTAATGTACTACCATCCATTCATTACTAGGCTGTAATCCTCTCAAGGGAGCTACCGCTATGTACTTTTATCCCGTGGATTTAGGGCTTCAAGAATTCATCTAATCAGGCCCCAATTAAACATCTTTTCTGTCGGGAAAACTACAAGGGTCCTAAAACGATATTCTCGAAAATCATGAATTAAAGGCAAAGAAGAAAGGTTTTTACTTTATGTTTTGCAAAGGTCAAAAAGATTCAATTCCCCAAAAAGGCCTCTTTTCTTTGGCACCGTTTTCATACTACTGCTTTTTAACAACGAAAATAATTCAGAAAAGGATTATAAATATATTCAAAGTAATCAAGTAAATGTTGTTATACTCTCCAGGTACAATGAACATACAAAGTAACTAAAAAAAACAAGAGAAAAAAGCTAACTTTAGTTTCCTAGATTCCCAGCTAACCAGGATTCGGTATGAGCTCGGTATGAGCTAGTAAACAGTCATGTGATTATTTTCTGAATATAGAAGATGATGAATGCCGGTGTCACAAGCTACTAGGATACGTATTATTACCTAATGCCCTGTTGGCCTACGTAAACTCATCTCTGCCAAACTTGCTAATCTACTGTTTCTTGCGGTGTTCTGTTCT